CTTTCCCTAGTTTGAGTTCACAGACTACCTTGTCATTGTTCTGTAGACTTGCCAAATGTAATTAAAGTTGCATTGTCTGATCATGACTTTGGTGTTGAAAGGAATCAACTAAAACAACCCAATTGCTGCTCACCCCGGCCAGTTTTAAGTGGTCTGTATATGGAAACAGCTGAACTTCATCTGAAACAATGCTTCAGCTTGCAGGTATTTTCTTTTCCCAGGAAGATAAACAGTGAAACCAGTAACAGAAAATGACAGGAGTTGTACTTTACACTTACTTCATAGTGTTTGTCATGAAGCTCGAAAGAATGTTACATGTGTATGTGTTTGTGTGTTAGGGAGAGACCGAGGCGAGGCACGGGGAAGAATTGATTTTCTTGGGTCGCAGTGCATTTTCATAAATCTAGGAAGGCCTTGTGAAGTTTGTCTTGCTTTTTGTGCTGGGCTTGCTTGTGAGTGGTGCTGTGCAGATTTATGTCAGGGGCAGCAGCTCTCTGTGCTGTAGGGATGGTGGCCTGATCGTAGTATTATTATTATTATTTCTTAGTAGTGAGTCTCTGGTGACACTGAGTTTGTGTTACTCGGTGTGGAAGTCACAAGGTGTTATGCCCATGTGGAGGAGGGCCCCTGGAGGTGGCAGAGGGAGAGGAGAGATGTAGGAAGGCTTGGGGTGCTTTTCTGTCCTGGGTGTCACCAAGTCATTATTTCTTTGTAACGTCTCTCCTAGGAGCCTTCACGTAAATGGGTCCAGTCATGCCTCCCAGTAAGAAGCCAGAAAGCTCAGGAATCAGTGTCTCCAGTGGGCTGAGTCAGTGTTACCGGGGCAGCAGTTTCTCCAAGGCCCTGCAGGAAGACGATGACCTCGACTTTTCTCTGCCTGACATCAAATTAGAAGAGGGGGCCATGGAAGATGAAGAGCTGACCAACCTGAACTGGCTGCATGAGAGCAAGAACTTGCTGAAGAGCTTTGGGGAGTCAGTGCTCAGGAGTGTCAGCCCCGTCCAGGATGTGGACGATGACACTCCCCCGTCCCCAGCCCACTCTGACATGCCCTATGATGCCAGGCAGAACCCCAACTGCAAGCCCCCCTACTCCTTCAGCTGCCTCATATTTATGGCCATCGAGGACTCTCCGACCAAGCGCCTGCCAGTCAAGGATATCTACAACTGGATCTTGGAACATTTTCCGTATTTCGCAAATGCCCCTACTGGGTGGAAAAACTCAGTCAGGCATAATTTGTCGTTGAATAAGTGTTTTAAGAAAGTGGACAAGGAGAGGAGTCAGGTAAGCCTTTGCATCTGGATCCCAAGCTTGTTTTGTTTGGTTTTAAAAAAACATGTCTCCATTAAAAAAAAAATTTGTATTTGCTGGTCTAAAGTGGCACTTGGAAATGGGTTTTATTTCATCGCATTCATTTAGGAAATGAGAAAGCTCTCTTTTTTCCTTAAACAGATGAGTCGAGTTGCGTGCTGTGTTTACTGTTTGTACCGCGTGGAGGATTTCCCACTGTTAGGGTTTCTATCATCGCAGAACAGTGGTTTGTAAATTGGTTGGTTTATCTGTCAGTGTGGATGGATCATCTTTTGGTCTTAGAAGTCATTAACTGGGAGGTGTGTCTATATCATGGCTCTTCAAAAACTGCATAGACAGTATGTATTAAGAACACACAGTGTGGATTTCACATTTGTTCACACCAGAATAAACTCTACTTTAGTGCTTTCATCCATTTTCTTTTTTTTTTTTTTTTTTGGAGATGTTTTTGCTGTAGGGTGCATGCGCTCACCAGAAAGACAGATGGAAAGCGAGAAATCACCCCCCAGGGGAGAAGGCCACGCCGCAATCCCTTCTCCTCCATTCTCATCTCGGGATCTTGGGCACACACGCACACGTGCCCAGCGTGAGTTTAAGTCTCTGGGTGCGGGACTCAAACCGTGATCGACTACATGCGAGTTCAGCGACATAGCCATTACGCTAACTGCCGGTCCCTCCATTTACTTTCTGAAGTCTCCTCAGAGAGTTGAGGGAAATTACCATCAAAAACTAGACAAAAATGGCATTTAATTTCTTTGAGAATATCCACTTGGAGAAAGGTCACTTCTCCAGTATTCTGGAATAAATGAACAGTAGTGGACAAGGGGAACAGAGTCTTGATCATAAAGAGAAAGACATGGATCATGCGACTTGCATGAGGCCTGATGTGTGTATATAACCATTTGGCAACTTTGAAACTCCCTGTGTCTGAAAAGGAGAACATTCTCTTAGAGCCTTGACTTTACAAAGGTTACATTTTTTATTTTAAAGCCTGAGTAGTGCTTCGTGGTCTACTAGAAGCAGACACTTTTAGTAATTTCCTTCCCTTTTCTTTTAAGGACTGCGATAGAAATAGGATGGACTGTTAGAACTAAAAACGAAAATGGTGATCTAACTGCGTTTTGAAAAGAAATGCAGCCACAGTCAAAATCAACAGCCAGCAGAAGATGCCCTGTGCAGTTTTCGCGTGACCATGTTTCCCGGCTTTGTTTTTCGTGTTAGTAATGCTGCTGTGGGCCGCTGGTGTTGTGCTTTTCAAGCTTTTTGAAGTTCGAGTTTGGGTGCAGGAGCGCCATTGTGTGGGGTCAGCAGCCGTGCAGGGTTGGGGCCTTGAATTTCTTTCTCCCCAGAAACATCTTTTCTGTTTCGAGTAGAATGTGAGCCTGAGGATAGTCCACCTGGCCCTGGCGTGGAGGAATAGAAATGAGGAAAATGCTCAGCCCTGTTTTTCTCGCGTGAACTGGGCACGTTTGTCGGAAAATACTATTCACCTGGAGTGCCCATTAGGAAGGGGCTGGGGGTGCGGGACTTGGGAAGGGTGTTGCCTAGGAAGAGCTGAGACATGGCCCTGGGGGCTCTGCGTTGGTCACTGGTGCAGATGATGCCAGGGTCCGGTGTGCAGGTGTGAATATTCCCAAGTTTCTGGGCCCCTCCTTCCTCAGACTGCTTTTCATCAGGGAGGGGAAGTGATGGGATGCTAAGTGCCCTGTCCTCCTTCCCTCCACGTCTCAGTGTGGGCATCTGAAGACCAGCCTCCAGACATGGCTCTTTGACCAGTTCGAGATCATTCTTTGAACTTGGAGTAGATTCATTGCTTCCCTGGACAGAGCTGCGTGCATGGCACTAAGGATTCTGTATAGTGGGTCCTCCTGACAAGGAAGGAAAGCAGTTCCAGACTTCGAATGTGGGGAAGAAGGTGCAGTTCGGGTCCCTCCAAGCCGCATGTGGCTGACACAGCCGCTGACAGGTATTTTCGCTTGGTGTGAAAGGATTCTGCAAGTCACCGCCTGCCTCTGTCTCTGTGACGTAGCGCCGGTGCACATAAAAGTGATTTAGCAAGCGCACACTCTGCAGTCTTAAACAAGACCAGCTCCAAAGGGGAGCAGCCAGACCTGAGAGAAGGACTCATCAGCCGGTGACAAGTGGGTGACAGGTGGGTGAAAGTACACCTGGAGCACCCATATCTACCCCCTGGTGGCCCCCACCCACACAGCCCAGAAATCATGTTTTCTAGGTGAAAGCTCGTCCATCGGATAAACACAGATGGTGCCCGTTGAGAAGGGATGGTTTAAGGACTCGGGAGTGTTAATCTTATGAAATGTCGAGTTCTGGCTTCCTCGCCGTCCTGGCCTGTATTGACACGTTTCTGATGAAATGCCAGTCAGTTTTGTGGTTGGGAGCTTGTTCCCAGCATTTGCGATACTGTGAGACAAAACAAGGAGTGTGAATTTTCCTTCTTCCTCCTCTTTTTTTTGGGTTGCCCTGGGGCCAACTCTGAGAGGTGTGGACGCCCAGGTATGCTCAGGTGTGCCAACCACTGGGGATTTTCTACTCTGGCTAGCTGGGTTAAAGGGCATTCCCCCTCATGCTTCGCCCAGTGAAAGCCTTTTCAGCTTTATAGGTAAATGTTTCTTTTCCAGAGGGTTTTACTGAAGGCATCTTCCCACGCTGGGCTTCAGCCTCAACACGGTGACTCAGTGCACCTGAGTGTTGGTGGGAAACATGGTCGATGAGGGCCAGAAGGGAAGCCTTGCAAGTTTCGTGCACTAATTAGGCCAGCTCCCCTCACCTCTTCTTTCCTCCCTTATAAAAGCGAGGAACACAAGCTTGGTGTAGCAGTGAGAAAGCAGAGTCCCGTGTGATCCTTGTTCCTGAGGGCTTGGAATACGGGTCCTGCTGGACAACTGTTTGGCTGGGATGTTGGAAAGGAAATGACTGCATGGCCCAGAGTCGCTTGTGACACCTGAAACAAGTCCCAGTTTTTGAGCTCTCCCCCGTTTCTGATTCAGTAGGTCCGAGCTGGGTTGGGAAGTTCAGATAGGTTTCACAGGTATTTCTGGCAGGCAGAGAGTTTGGGTGGAGAACCCCTGGAGGTGGTATTTTTGGGGGTTACTTTCAGTTGCTGAGATTTCACGAAGAATGTATTCTTGAGGCCAGAGGGTGGCACAGCATTGGAATGCTACGTTCTGAGACGCAGGTCCATATGGAAAGGTTCTGGCTTTGCATCCAGAGACCTCCCAGACTGCAGTGGGCGTGCCTGTGCCTGCTGGGCTAGCTGGAGTAGAGCTCCGCATCGGGACCCCAGGACCCTCTCAAGGGGGCTCTTTCACTCATAAAATAAGTAAACTTAGAAAGATACTCTTCTGAATAAGTCTGAGGAAAACAGTTCTGCTTCTGTTTGTCTCTTACTTGTTTGTTTTTGCCATAACTTACTGGAGAGAAACAGAAACAGTGAGAAGGAAAGTGAGACCCCCCCCCCTCCTACCCTGGGGCAGGGGATGGCCATGCTGTAATCCCTTTTCCTCCATTCTCGTCTTGAGATTTTGGGCTCGCGAACACACGCGCGCGAGCGCACACACACACACACACACACACACACACACTGGGAGTGATTTTCAATCCACCAGGTCCAGAACTCGAACTTTGTGGGAGTCCAACCTCATAATCACCATTCCACTGACTGGCCCTCTGTTTTGTCTCTTAAAGGTCTTCAAATGATAGAGTTATATTTTTATTTATTTGCTAGAGGACTCATGAGAGAGAGAGAAAGAGAGGAAGTGAGAAAACACTCCCCACGGGGGATGGTCACAATGCTATCCCTTCTCCATTTTCCTTTTAGGATTTTGGGCTTGCACATACATGTATCTGGCATGTTTTTCAATTTGTGAGTCGAAGACTTGAACCATATAGTTGATCATGTAGGATTCAGCCATTATACTCACCACACTGGCATTATTTTTATTTTTTAATCATGAACCTTTTCAAACATACATAGATATATCATAGGGTAGTATAATCAGTCAATGCCCCGTTACACGCCGGTCCAGAGTCACTAGTTCACAAGGGTTTGCTTTGCTTATTTGACTCATTATTTTCGTTTTGTTCTTGCTACTGCTGCAGCAAGTAGCAAATGTTCTTGTTTTTATACTTTATTTATTTACTTATTTTAATTTGACCAGAGAGGGACAAAGCGAGAGAGAGAGAGAGAGAGAGAGAGAGAGAGAAAGTGAGAAAGCAAGCTGCCAGGTCCAGGACTTGAACCATGGTTGGCCATGTGGGAGTGTCCTTAATCACCACGCCACCTGCTGGCTCCAGTAGCAAATGTTTTGAAGCAAATCCTAAGCTTGTGTCGTTCTATTGCAACATATTTCAGTGTGCATAAGGATATGGATCATTCCTTACATAATTACACTCCACCCCACCCCCAGCAAAATTGACAGTTTGTTGGTGTCACCTCATACCAGGGCTGTATTTAGATATTCCTATTCATTTACCTTGTTTGAATCAGGGTCCAAACATGGTTTGTGCGTTGTATTTGGTTGTCACATTTCTTAAATCTGTTTTAATCTACAGAACCCCTGCCCGCACCTCCTTTCTCATGCCTTTTCTGGTTAGAGACCCATCCATTGGGCTATAGAATGCTCCCAACGCCTTTTGCCTCCTAGCAGTTTTTGTCCTGGCATATTTCTGGTCTAATGGAAGAAAGCATGAAAGTCTAGACACAGTCTGGCTTTCCTCTCTGCGCCTGGGAGAGCTTCAGCAATGTCTGAGTCTTGCTGGTGCAACTCATCAGGAAGCCTTGGGGGACCCAGAGATTGAACTAGGGTTTACATGGGGTCAGCTGCTCCCTACTTGGAAAAGGGCCACATCAGCCTTTCATCTTACGGTTTTATCTAGTGATGACCTTTGCCCGAATCAACCGAAGTTTTAAATTCTGGAATTGTGTTTTATACCTCCTCAGTACAGGTCTCAGG